GACCCCTCCTTGGGTTTCCAAGGCAGTATCACTACGGAAGTAGATTGCCCCATCTTCCTTCCGAGGAGTGGCTGGTGGGTTTGAACCACCAGTCTTCTGGTTAGCAGTCAGGTGCCTTAGCCACTATTCTACCAGAGCTATATCTTAGTGGGGGGCTATTTTCAAAGCACCCTGACTTGTGAGGAGGAGCCCTAGGTGGTACTAACAGTCAACACACTCAGTGCTAACTGCAAAGTTGGAAGTTTGAGTCCATCCAGAGGCACTTCAGAAGAAAGACCTAACAAACTGCTTCTGAAAAAATAACCACTGAAAACCCTGTGGAGCACGGTTCTACTCTGACACACGCGGGGTGGCCAAGAGTCAGAGTCAACAGCAACTCGTTTTTATGATAAGAGATGCCACTTCTCTACCCAGCCCACCTGGAGCCTCCACTCCCTGCTAACCCGTGTTTTCTGCCCTCAGATCCACATGAAGACGATGCCAGCCGCCATGTACAGGCTGCTGACGGCCCAGGAGCAGCCCGTTTACATCTGAGCCCATGCGCCCCTCGCGCCTCACGGCATGCATGGAGGACTCTCCTCACTCGTGGTTGTGTGTCTAGTGCTGCATCTGTGTGTCCACTGAGACATTTCCCTCACGCGCTCCGCATTTGGTTGTGCACAGGAAGAGGAAAATCCGCAAGGACCTCTTTGCTCTCTGTCTCTCTCCAGTTTGTATTTTTTTTTTAATCCAGGGAAGTTTTGTGTGTGCTCACTCGGGGATGGAGAGCCGCCCTGACATACCCAGGACCTTCCTGAAGGGCCCTCTTTTTTGGGGGGATTGGAGGGTGGGGGAGTCACTGCCCAATGGGAAATCATCTTTGCCCAGAAGATGTAGATCTCACAGAAGGAGCTCCCGGGGCAGTGAAGAAGCTGATTCAGCAGTGCCTAGAATCCGGTTGCTGATCTCTGCTCTCCTCTTCTGGATGGGTAGGAATATGGTAGGGAAGGGAGCCAGCCCATGGCTCTGAGGACGTGCACTGCACACAGTATAGTGGTCACAATATTGTCTACACCTGGAATTTCTGAGCCAACCTTAAACCCATTCTATAGCTAATTTTAGTTTCAGCATTCTTGACTTTCTGATAATATGGGCCTTCTCACCCCAGAGGATGTGAAAAAGGACCTGCCTTGCACAAGGATCCCATAGCCTTGCAGGGAACTTGGCATTTCATGGAGGATCCAAAGCCTCCACAGGTGGTCCCAAAGTTACCAGCCACTGGATCAACACAAGCAGGTTCTATCCACCTCTCCTATGTCACTCACACACACACACACACACAGTCACACACACACACAGTCACACTTGTATATCACCCTTCCCTCCTTCCCACCACCAATAAGATAAGCTGAAAATGCCCTCTTCCCAGGGACCTGCCTTTGATAGCACACAGAGCCCCGGGCAGCTCTTTGACCTGGCAGGCCAGGTGGCATGAGCACCACCTCGGCTCAGAGTGTCCTCCCTCTGAAGGCGTGGACCCTGCTCCCTTACATATACACAGAGACCCTGGGAAGGACCCCTTGAAACGTCGTGTTAAAAACATGGTGTTACATTTTCTGGCCCGAGGTTGGGCCAACTTTCTTTTCTGCTCAGGGCCAGTCAGCAGGCTGTGACATTGGAAAGGCCAGAACAGGACGTAAGCCACATAACTAAGGGGACAATAATGACCTCAAGCTATGCCTAAGAATCCCCAGATGTGGCCTAGGACCACCATCTTGGTGCCTCGTGGGTCTGAGAGTTGCAGCTGGTGCGGGAGCTTCCGTGTCTTCATCAGGTGCCTCGTCTATGGAGTCTGTCAGTGCAGACAGTGTGGTGTGTTATTCTGAGCCAGTTTTTCACTTCTCGGTCCAAAGAGCATTTTGTTTTCACATGGGGTGTGGTTCTGTTTTGCTTAGTTTCTGTTTTTGTTGTTTTTCTCATGACCTCAGTAGAGACAGGGGAAAAGAAACTATTATATTTTGTAATATTATTATAACCCCTGTTCTCTGCACCTAGGATATTTATGTTGTGTCTTGTGGAACTAGGAGCTCCGTGAGCAGACATGGGGAGGATGTATGTATATGTAGGTACAGAAGCTTCGGGGAGGGAGAAAAGGGCCTACAAACAGATTAAGAATGTAAGGCATCAGCCAGGAGCTATATGGTCACTTCCCCTGGGTCTCTGCACCTTCTGAGGTTTCTGCTTAGAATGAGGAAAGCCAGAAGCCTGCGGAAAATCAGCAGCTGAACTCTTTCTCTGTGGTGCGGCTAGTGACAGACAGAAGCTGCCAGCCCCAGAGTCCTCTCTGGGGAGAAGTTGCCTTCTCCAGAGAGCTGCGGTGAGATGGGGACAGTCAGGCCCCCTGGACTTAGGTCTCAGAGCTGAATGCTGCTGGGGGGATGGGGGAAAACCCCAGGGTTGACCCGCCACAAATGCTGGAGCCCAGAACCATGGCTCCAGGGTCTCAGTTTGCCTGTCCTGAAATAACCAAGCTAGAGAGTGTCTGATGTTATAATTAAATACAAAGGAGTTGCAACTTCACATTCCCTCAGCCAAACAGACAGGGGGATGACTTGTCATTGGTGATATTTCAGCCGTTAAAAAATCTTGGGAGGGGCTCTTGCCTGTCTGCTCCCAGGGGCACCCACCTGCCTGGGCACCTCTGCTAGCATCGGGATGACTGGGATCGCAGAGGCCACCCTTATGGCTGAGGGAAGGGAGCTTGGCCTGCATTTCCCTATGCAACTGCCCAGTAATACAATTACCTGTCTTCACCCAAAGGAGAGAAGAGGGGGAGATACACAAAAATCCTGGGAAGTTTGAGAGGTGCTGAGAAGGCCAGTTGTGTTCACCGTCCTGAGTGTCTTCACAGAGGACTATTTATCCACCACAGACTTTCCACACTAATAAAAACAGTGAGCCCCACCCCCACACTGCAGCATTCTGCTCTGAGGGGCCTCACTGCCCAGACAGTGAACGTCACTGGGACTTGGAACAGGTTCCCCCAACTGAAGTACATCCTCTTTCCCCTGTTCCCCTTGGATGGAGGGAGTTAACCTTTATTTGGTTAACTTAGGAGCAACCACTAACCAGTTGCCATCCAGCCATCCTGCCTTGTGGTGATCCCCTGTGTTTCAGAGTCAAACTGCTCCACAGGGCTTTTACGGCTGTGACCTTTCGGAAGTAGACCTCCAGGCCTTTCTTCCAAGGCACCCCTGGCTGGGTTCAACCCACCAACCTTTCAGTTAGTAGCCCAGCACTTAACCATTTCCACCACCCAGCGCCTCCAACTTAGGAGTAAACCAAAAAAAAAACAAACCAACCAACCCGTAGCCGTCAAATCAATTCTGACTCATAGTGACCTTCCACAACAGAGAAGAGCTGTCGCGTAGGGTTGCCAGGGCTGGACGTTGTTATGGAAACAGACTGCCACATCTTTCTTCCAGGCACAGCTAGTAGGTTTGAACTACCGACCCTTAGGTTGACAAGGGAGCACTTAACCACTGCACCACCAAGGCTCCTTAACTTAGGAGCAAGAGTCTTAAATATTAGTAACTGGTTTTGGAAGTCCCATGAGAAGAAGTGGTTTCCTTCCCTTCTGACACCCAATATATGTATATAGTTCTGCATATAAATACTTGCATCCCCTGGGTACCAGAGAAGACCATGTACAGAGCAGACTTCCCCACCACTGCCCGGGCAGAAAGCCTCTCTTGCCTGACGGCTAGAACATGCTGGTGACACCACTTTTGAGGACTAACTCCCAGGTCCGCCTATCCCTCCTGGCCCTGCCAGGGCCCACGGGAACCCACCCTGCCTCTGCCTTCCCAGATGTGAGCATTTCAGGGCGCCACTGTCAGCCTTGGGTTCATCAGGGCAGGAGACCTCACATGACCAGTACCTGGAGCACAGTTCTCAAGCAGCACCTTCCTCCCCTCCCCAGAGTGACTGTGTCCCCGCAGTGGGGTTTGCTTTCAGCTCACTGCCCATCAACACTGGCCTTCCAAGAGTCCCAGAGTAACCTACTACCTCCCCCCACTCTCTGACCCTGCAGCACCCCGTTCGTGCCCAGCACTCATGGTCCACATGCTGATGAAAACCCGTCCCCGGGCCCTTCTTGGGTCTCCCGACCCCGTGGTGTCGCTGTTACCAATGTTTACATGCAGGGGCCCCCTCGCCCCTATTTATCCCCTCCTTCATCCACAAGGCCACTTGTCGGTGTATGTCATGCCCGTCTCCTCCTTCCCTGGTTCGAGTTGACTTGAGCACAGGACTCCGACTTTATTTCCTCCCTGCAGGCAGCGTGTGAGGACTGTGGGCATGGAACTCCTTGTACATACATAGCCCAGCACCTAGAATACGAACTTGTACTATTGTTCTGTAAAGAGGGTGGAATAGAGCTTATTGTAAAGCATTGGGAGAAGTATAGTATTGTATTTGTAACAATATCGTTCTTTGTATACACACACTCAACAATCTCTATATATAAATATAAATAAATATATAAATAAGATATATATCGCCGTGAGCCTGGAATGTTGGCACTGCACTCCCACCGAATGTACCTCCTCTGGCGGGCTGGTCACAGGGCCCGGCCTGCCCTCCTCTCCTCTGTCACGTGGCCACAGTCGTCTGGTTTGGAGGTTGTGATGTATTTAATGTGCTAGCTCCCTTTATTTAACTGAACGCTAATGTCTGTTAAGAGTTGCAGCAACAATAAACAAGAACTTCACCTCTTCACCCCACTGAGTGTCGTCTTGTTGCAGGGGAGGGAGGGGACCCTGGGTGGTGGAAGGGCCAACTCGTGTCCATTCTGTGAGGACCGCTTGCTGCCCAGAGCCCAGCCTTGTCTAAATGGACTTTTATTCTGTGAAATGGAGTTGGTTTAAACAAGAAGGGGTGTGTTCACCTGGTATAGCTGATATCCTGTGCTCTGGTTGGCCTCCTTCGAGCATACTGGGCAGGGGAGGAAGGGCCCCTTTGGATTTCATAGTTTGCATCCTCTGTGGCCTAGGGGTCGTTGATGGGTCAGTGGTGGGATTGTCACCTTCTATGCAGGAGACCCGGGTTTGATTCCCAGCCAGTACACCTGCACAGGCACCACCCATCTGTCAGTGGGAGTTGTGTGTTGCCATGATGCTGGACAGGTTTCAGCAGAGCCTCAAAACTAAGACGGACGAGGAAGAAAGGCCTGGCAATCTACTTCCAAAACTCAGCCAATGAAAACCCTGTGGATCACAGGGTCCCACCCACAACCAATCATGGGGATGGTGTAGAAGCAGGAAGCTTTCCGTTCCGTTGTGCGTGGAGTTCCCATGAGCCAGGGGCTGACTTGGTGGCAGCCACCAACAACCCTCAGTGAGGGAAGGCGAACGGGAGTTAATTACCTCCCCAAGAAATCTCAAAGAGGGGAGGTGGCCCTTGTTAACAGACTGAGACCCTTCTTATGGTGTTGGAAGGAAAACATTGCCCTGGAGAGACCCACCTGAAGATTCTATAAGAAAGTCCTAAAAAAA